TCTATCAGAAAGAGGCAGCAAGTGGGGGAAGAGGAGGTACATCAAAGCAGCAGCGCTGTGTAGAGCTTGGGGGCCAGACCCTGGGCTCCACACGGTACTGCTGCTTTGAAACGCCATGTGCGCCCCAGGGTCAGCTGGGCTGTTCCCAGGCTCCATACAGTGTTTCAAAGCACCAGCACCTCACAGAGCCCAGGGTCAGTGGGGGAGTCCCGAGCTGACCCCGGGCTCCACACGGCGCTTTTGCCTTTGAAGGGTAGTAAGAGCCCTAGGGCTGTGGCTACACGGCGGCGGCGGCGCTCTGTCGACTAATCGAATCGTCAGTGCAGAACGTGACACTTCAATGAGTCAGCTGCTTGCCCTGTAACATCCTGCTCTGAGATCCCTGGTCTGGCTGGAAGGCCGAGGGACACCTGGCACTGGGCAGACAGGACCCAGCCTGGCTGCTCTGATGGGGGTGTACAGCTGACATCTGTTGGGATCTGAAATCGGCGCTGAGTGCAGGGCCACATTGCCGGCTACAACTGATGCTCCGGGGCAGGCCCTGTTGCGAGGTCAGCAGCTGCTGTGGGCCAGGACTCGCTTGTGGCTGGCCTTTGGGCTCCTGACTAGGGCACAGGCAGGGGGAGACGCAGCCTGGCCTCACCCACACTCCACCCCCACGACACCTGCTGTCGAATGGAGTTTTGCTTCCCTCCCTGGTGCTCCTGGCCGGGAAGCTGGGGCCACACACCCACCTCTCCGTGGTGGGGGGTGGGGGTCTCAGCAGAAGGGGTGGGGCTGCCCACAGGCACAGGCCATCACAGACTTGCTCGTTCTCTCTTGCCCTGCAGACTTCAAACCGCAGCACCATCCCGACGCCCTGCCTGGGCTGCCAGCCTACGTCCTGTTCATGTGCCTCCGGCACGCAGACTCCACCCGCGACGAGCACAGGATCCGCTCGCTCTTCGCCGCCGCCATCAGCGGCATCAAGAGGGCTGTGAAGGTACAGGGAGCAGGGTGGGGGGAGCATGGTCCCTCTGGGGAGCAGCGGGGCCGCTGAGGGGCTGCCCTCAGACGCTGGTTCCCTATCGCAGGCAGCAGCAGCTCAAGGGACCATCCCACTGGTGGCATTTGTCAGCCTGAATCCAGGGCCAAACAAACTCGTCTGGGGCTGCTGGATGTAGTGCTCCCCAAGGCTCCTGGGTGGGCCCAATAGGAGGTTCTGTGTGCAGGAGGGGTGAGGGCTCCTTCTGGGGGTGGGGCTGGGGATGAGGGGTTTGGGATACAGGAAGGGGCTCAGGGCACTAGATTAGAGGGGTGGGATGTTTGACTGGGGCAGCTCCCCTTGTGCACAGGCCCTGGGGAAGAGGGGACAGATGGCTGTGCTGCCCTGTGCTCACCTGCAGGCCCTGCCCCACAGCTCCCATTGGCTGGGAACCGAGGGCTCCTTCTGGGGGTGGGGCTGGGGATGAGGGGTTTGGGATACAGGAAGGGGCTCAGGGCACTAGATTAGAGGGGTGGGATGTTTGACTGGGGCAGCTCCCCTTGTGCACAGGCCCTGGGGAAGAGGGGACAGATGGCTGTGCTGCCCTGTGCTCACCTGCAGGCCCTGCCCCACAGCTCCCATTGGCTGGGAACCGGGGGCCAGGCACGGAAGCATAAGATCAGAAGCTGCTTCTGTGCCTCCCCCTAGACAGGGCTGAGACACGGGTTTGAGGGGCTGCAGCCAGTGAGGCTGGAACACTTTGGGGGGGGCGCTGAGCTGCCCCCCAGACCTGTTGAGATCTGGTTGCCACGTTGATCGGACAGACTGGATTCATTGCTGCCCATGGCGTCCAGCCTGGGGGAGTTGGCAGCCGACACTGCCCCAGGCGGGGGCAGCTGCAGAGCCCAGGGCCGGCAGCGGGGTCCTGGGGCTGGTGGGTTGCGTGGCAGTGGTGGGGGGCTGGGTGCAAAACCTGGGGGTGCTGCAACATCCCACTTCCTGTGCCTGTGGCTGCGGGCCGGGGCGCCCCCCACTGCCCCCGTTTAGCTTGGGGCCCCAGGCTGCAGCTCTTCTTAGTCTGGCCCTGCCTGGCCCGGCTGCCTCACCACAGCGGCTCTGCGCTGGGTCAACGAGGCCCAGGCTGGCTCTGCCTTTCCGGGGGGAGCTTGGTCTCATCCCAGCTGAGCAGGCCGGCAAGGCGAGGCTAGGGCTTGGCTGAGGCCTTGGGGACCCCTGGCCGCGAGTCCCTCTGAGCTGTCCCTCGGCTTCCCTGCTCTGCTAGAGGGTTCCTGATGGGGTTGAGGCATTCTCTCCCCCCTCAGCTTCCCGGGCATGCTCAGAACTCCTCCTTCCAGGCTTGAGGGGCTGCTGGGGAGGGACGCTCTGCAGAGCTGGCGGGGACACTACCATGGCCTGGCACAGCCTCCCGCCGTGCGCTCTGTGCGCGGGACCAGGGCTGCCTGCTGCAGACAGTGAATCGGGGCCTCTCTGCAGCAGGCCTGTGACTGGGGGGAGGAACTGGTACTGGCTGGGTTGCCTGGGAACAGCGCTGGAGCCTGGTGTCCCCCCCCCAGGTCTACCGGGGCACAAAGGGAGGGGTTGGGGCCCAACATGGCCACTTGCCATCAGCATCCGCGCCGTGTCCTCCTGTGCTGAGGGTTTGTTTTGTCGCCTGCCGCAGAAGCACAGCGAGGACGTCGACGTGGTGACGCTCTGGCTCGCCAACACCTGCTGTCTTATCAACTGCCTGCGGCAGTACGGCTGGGACCAGGTGAGGGCACGGCCCCTGCCCCCCGCGGAGCCCCCAGCTGGGGCTGGCCTAGCCTGGCCTCCCTCCAGTGTCCCTGGGGAGGCTGCTGAATACATCACGGCTGAGGCACAGGCAGCATGTGGCCGGTACCCTGGGGAGCTGGAGTTGGTTCCATGGGGGGCTGTTTTCCTTCAGTAGGCTCCTTCCCTCCCCACTTCCTTCTGAAATCTGGGTGGCTCGGAGTCTGTTTTAGTGCTGGCTCGTGCTGAAGGCGTCTCCACCCACTCCTTGTGCAGTGGCCATTGGCCTCTGGCTGTTCTCTCCCTTGGCCTCTGGCTGCCTGAGGCTGGGTCCGGCTGGCCGGACAGGACGCCTGTGGCTTACACGGCACTCGTGTCCCGGCTCCATAGTGGGTGGCAACTTGGAGAAGTGGCGTGAAATCAGCAAGCCGACATTGGCTAAGTGCGGAGCGCTGCCGTGAGACCGGAAAGCCAGAGGCCCAGCCGGGGGAGAGTTGGCCGGGCCCAGGCCGTGCCGAAGGGGGCACGGAACAAGTTGGCAGTGCAGAGCCAAAGCCAAAAGCGGAGATTCTGGGGTCTCTGGACAGGAGTGTTACATGTAAAAATTCCTAACTGTCAGGGTGGTCAAATATTGGAATAAATTGCCAAGGGAGGTGGTGGAATCTCCCTCTCTGGAGATATTTAAGAACAGGTTGGATAGACATCTGTCAGGGATGGTGTAGACGGAGCTTGATCCTGCCTTGAGGGCGGGGGGCTGGACTCGATGACCTCTCGAGGTCCCTTCCAGTCCTATGATTCTATGATTCTATGTCGGGCACAGGCAGTCACTGCCCATGTCTGTCACTGGGGAGGCCTCTAGTTCTGGGCGCTCCGCTGGAGGGGGTGCTGCCTGATCTCGGGAGTGACTATTTAGTGGGTTACTTGTGACTCTCCAGCTACCACTTGGGGGGCTGACAGGTCCTTTGGGAGCTGCCTGACCCTGGGCCAAAGACACCCCCTCTTCCTGCCGCCCCTAGCCAGGGGTGCCGCTTGTGTAATACGAGCCTGTTGGAGGCATCTTCAGTAGGGGACGTTTCCTTTTCTCCTCTGCATTGCTTCCCCTTGCTACTGGTGACGTGTCTTAGCTATCGGCCGGTCCCTCCTAAGGCAGTTCACGACCACGGCCCTTCCGTGCATTGCTATTCCTGGCCTACCCGGCTGTTCGGTCGGGTCTCACCTGGTTATTTCAGGGTTCCACGTAACGTTTGCCTGTCAGCTCTGACGAGGCTCGTGGAAGCCCCCTGGCCCTTGAAGGGTGCTTATCTAGCCCAAAAGGCCTGGTTACACAGATGGCACAGGCTTAGGTCTGCTCGCTCTACCTTAGCTCAGCAGGCCTTGCCTTGCAGCCAGCCGACCTAACACAAACCTGCTGTAGCCGATTCTAATCCGAACCGTGAGGAGATAATCTTGAAGGTTCGTAGCCCTAGGCAAGCGAGCAGGTTAGCCCCACAGGCTACAGGGGAGAGCAACCGGAATGAGACCATGTGCAGAGCCTGAGGCCCAAGGCCCAGCTGGGCATGGCCCTGAGAGACCTGGGGCTTGAACATGCAGATTGGCCTGCAAATCCCTGGAGGGCCAGTTCTAATCCGAACCGTGAGGAGATAATCTTGAAGGTTCGTAGCCCTAGGCAAGCGAGCAGGTTAGCCCCACAGGCTACAGGGGAGAGCAACCGGAATGAGACCATGTGCAGAGCCTGAGGCCCAAGGCCCAGCTGGGCATGGCCCTGAGAGACCTGGGGCTTGAACATGCAGATTGGCCTGCAAATCCCTGGAGGGCCAGGGCCCCTCAGGCGGGGATGAGCTCAGCAGCCCGCCTGCAGGGACAGGAATTCCTGGGCTTGCTCTGCAGCCTGGGGTGCTGGAGAGGCTCCTGATGCGCGGGGCTCCGGCTCCGGCTCCGGCTCCCTGCCAGGCAGTGGGAGCCCATTCGCTGTTGGAGGACGGGGCTGGGCAGAGGCCTTGGCTTGGTCCTGCCCTGGCGCAGGGGGCTGCAGCCTGACCCCTCTCAGCCCCATCTAGCCCCACGAGTCTGATTCTCTGACAAACTGCAACCCAGCCCTCAAGCCAGGCACCT